GCAAAATATTTTATGAGATATCTCGACCTTGAATAAAAATTGATTTTTTAAGAGAAATGATCAATGAAAAAAATTTAAGGAGTTAATTAGTACATTAGTAAAATCTTTGTTCATAGAAGAGTACAATTTGTTACGATAAATAAGCACCATAATAGTATTAGAAATATTTTTGGCATCAGCATTCTTGCAAAAAAAAAAAAAAAAAAAAGGTTCTTTGTTGCACGAAAAAGATCCAAAACAGCCACTTCATAACAATATTGTGTGAGGAAAACTCCAAAAAAATCCTTCTAATCCTAGAGCACTATGTTCATCAAATTCAATAATAGCTTCCTTCAACTCATTTATGGTCACTTTCAGCATAATCTGATAATTTTGTTCTGAAGTGACTAGAGAGGAAATGTATTGAATAAGTTCCTTAGTACGACTGACTTCTTCAGCTGTAAATACCCAACCAATTTGATCTTCATCATCAATCCATTTGCCAACTTTATTCTTCATACTTTATATCCAGAGTTTGCTACATTTCCACCCTCTACAATTGGTTAATTCTTGCATTTTGATGCAAACAAGTTTCTTCATACGTCAAACTAAATAAAAATTGAGTTCAAGCCAGGTGAAGCTCACTTCTAGCATCATTTATTTAAAAACTTTCGTACTATATCTCATTTTGTTGCACTGTCTAGATGTTTTATATCTATATGAGATGTAAAAATATCATGGCTTTTTTTGGTCCCTTAAACTTAAACACTCTTTCTAACACTTAAACTTATAACTTAAAGTATACATGTTAAACCCATGTATTGCCATATTCCATTTCCTTGAACAACATTAAAGAAAGAGGAGTGTGATATCCACATATTTTATAATTTAAAAGGTCTTGGGTTAGATGAATTAGAAGATGTTAGAGTATAGGTGTTAATATAGCAAAACTTGGAAGTAAATCTAGACACTATTGATTGACTAACAATGAGTCCAAAATTTTCCAAACTCTTTACCCATATCTAATACCACTCCATATATAGTGTTAGCACGAAAAAACACGCACACAGCGGAAGCAATTTTGACACATAAAAATATGTGGGAAGAGAAGGAAAACAAATTCTCAATAATTTTATTTAGCTCAAAACTCAATAATAACAATATCAAGTCTAGCCTTTCACTCACGACAACTCACAAATTTCAACTATGAAGTTTTCCCTCAAACCCACTCTCAAATCTCAACTCAACTCTTCAAGAAAACAATGTAGCAATTCCAATAGTTTATATAGACTAATCACAAGAGTTAGTAACCGAAACCATTTTGGACTTCCGAACTTCTGAACCGTCTCAAATACCGGAACTAATGCGGACGTGGACTTGACTTGCTTAAATGACTTGAGCATGACAAAAGGAAACTGAATAGAGAACCAAATACGGCATGAACTTGATTGGCTAATTAAAACTTAAGGAAACTAAGAAGTGGACAACCGACTAAAACTTTAATTTAATAAACATATTAATAATAAAATAAGCTTGGTTTATTTTCCTTCATATAGACATTGTTTAAGGGAAAATAGTCTTTTAGATAGGATTTAGGCATAGCTTGATCAAAATCTCCTACTGCACTCAAATTTTGCGGAGATAAATTAATACATTTAGCAATAGAAGATATAACATTAAAATCACCACCCATCAACCATGGCTATTAATGCAGCTTAATTCATGCCAAAACTCTCATTTGTCACTTCCTTTGCGCTTAGTATAGATAAAAGAAGTCTTAACAACATGTACCCAAGTATCATGAGAAATCATACTATGAAGCAAGCAATCCAAGTTGAGAACAATAACAAGATGAAATCCCAATTTCCAAATATTTCAAATCTTCAGTAAGTTTCTGGAAAGGTCTAAATGAATACAGACTCGAACAACATTAAGGCGGGGGAGATTAGTAGTAGCTAAATTAATCTTTGGTGGTGTTTCTACTGCACTTGCAATTGAAAGCAAAATTTTTGGAGAAGTTAATAGTAGAGCTGTAAACGAACCGAATCGAGCCGAGTATCTCATGTTTGAGCTCTGTTTGTTAAGCGATTCAAACAACGTTCGTGTTCGTTTGTTAATTTTCGAACTCCAAACCTATGTTCGTGTTTGACTCGTTAAGCAAAGTTCGTATTCGAGTTCGAGTTCGTGTTCGACTCATTTAACATAAACGAGCCATTCGCGAACATGCTCGAAATGGTCGAATCCAAATTATTTTAAGCCTTAAATATGCCATGCAAATTATTAATCATTCTCCAAAACAATTAAAGCACTAAGTGACTAAATTCTATTATTCATTAACTATATAACTAACATTAACATAAAAACAACAAATAAACCAAAGCAATTTGCCCTCCAAATATAAAAGTCCAGCCATAAAATTAACCCGAAAATTTGTCAAATGATAATTATGTTCATGTTCGTGAACGTTCGTTAAAACTTGCGAACATGCTCATGTTCGCTCGATTATTACTCGAACAAAAAAATTCGTTCGAATTCGGTTCGTTTTAGGTTTCGAACGAGCCTTTTACGAACACGAAAGAGTCGAAACGAACCAAGTTACCGAGCAGTTCGGTTCGTTTAACAGCTCTAGTTAATAGGCAAAAATTCCAAAAAAAAAAAAAAAATTCAGACGAATGCATTAGAGGATTTGGAATTGAATTTAAAATTAGAGGACCATTTGAAAATTCTCATGAAAAAATTATTAATTATTTATAATCACTTGAGCTAGCACCTTAAGCAATATTTCTCCAATGTGAATCTAATAAGAATGTATTTATGATCTAATAACTAATTGTAAGGACTGATTTAAATTCAATAGCCTGAAAAAGCCTCCATAAAACTTCTAGGATTTTGCCTCCCATGGGAGAATATTTCATACCAATGAGAAATTGAATGGACTCCCTAGTTTCGTAATTTCATTCTTAGAAATAGACACCAGCTGGTTCACTTTTGAATAGGGAAACTGGTTTTGATACGGCATGGAGAAGGTGAAAGTTGGTCTCCAAGAACATCAACAAATCGGTTGGGATGAAATTGCTTTCTAACTCCATGGTGAAGGACTGCCATGGCTACTAAACCCTAATGGAAAATTTCAAAACTCAAAAAAAAAAAGGGATGCCAAATGAATTATTGAAGAAAGGAAGCCAAATGAATTATTGAAGAAAGGAAGCCAAATGATGCTAAAGTTTTCATCCAATATTTTTAAACTTGAGTGACCGCTTCCGAGTTTATCCATTCAACCAATTCTATAGGTCATCAATTCTCTATTTTTTAGTTGTAAAACTAGTAAAAAAAGATCAAATTCAAGGAATTTGTAGAAATTGTGAATTTATCTACAAAGAAAATAAAAAAGTTTATTATATATCTTGAAGAACAACAGAAATTCAACAAAATTAAACAAGACACTAGGTATTTCAACAAAGTAAATAAATGTATTATATATCTATATAATACATATCTATATGAATACTTAAAAGAAAAAAGGTTTCATATTATATACATTTTATAGACCCTTTGAAAAAAAAAACTCATATTTTCTTCAAGTAAATCAATAAAACATGTAATTAACTTTTCAAGTATTATACTTCATCAAAATTTTAAAAACTTTTTTCCCTTTTAACTTTAACTCCATTACTCTTATGCTTCATGCATGACATATCATGAAATCAATGTACTATTCCATTTATTTTTAAAAATCATGTCTATGTCTCTTGATAATAGCTCACCTTGAAAGGAATTAATATAAAATAAAAAATGCACCTTTAAAAAAGTCAAAGAATCAATATTGAAAAGTACAAGTAGAGAAACTACAAGCAGTCATGCGTAGGGGTATTTGTAATTCATAAAACATAAAAAAATCAGTCAAAATAATTTATTTTGGATTTTGATTTCAATAAATTACAATTCTGTAAAACCAATATAAACATAATCTCTAGTATTTAATAAAATATTTTGAGAATGGATACTAGAGTTATATTTCTGAATTTTCTATTACTAGCTAGATTTCTGAAATTCTTATTGACGGCTAAATTTTCAAATTACATATAACAATGTTATGTATATGACATATATTAATATATAAGTTAAATTACTAATGAGTGATAACTAAGTACTAACCAATGAATATAAGTACTATGAAAATATTAATGTACTGATCACTGACTAATCTACCAATATGATCTATAAATCTAATTTATAGTATAACATTACTAAATACTATCTATTCTTTAGAAAATTTTGGATATTAACCAAATTACTAGTTCTTTGGTTGAAATCTAATTGCTATTTCCAAATTATCAAATAAAAATTCGGACAATAATTAGATGGTCGCTTTATAAAAGAGGAAAAAAATCAAAGAAATGCAAATTTGAATAATTGAGTTACCAGTTTTTGGCAAATGAACACCACGTGTCATGCATAATAAGAATATAATTTGTAATACATCTTGCCTTAAATGTTGAACCTTCAAAATCAACCCAAGATTTCTTTTCTTTTCCGTATTGCTACGAGAGATAATCTAACGTAAATTCTTCACTTTTCATCCTTTACTCTCTCACTCGTTCCCATCCCATCTTTATACAAAAAGAAAAACTCACGTAGACCCGATTTTTAACTTCACTCATACATTTATAATTATGAATATTAAGAATTACGCACTTTTCTTACATTATCCTATACAATATGCATCATTATCTCTCATTTCCATAATCATACATCACCTAAATATTCCACACTGTCCAACTCAATTGAAAAGTAGTTTAACTCTCATCCTTTTAAATCTTTTTTCTCTTTGTTAGTTGATAACAAAACCACATCCCCTCCCCTCCCTCTTCTTCCTCTTCAACTACCATACCAGTAATACACTTAGGATTAACAAACTTTCCTTCTCTCTCCCTCACATAGCCTTCTCTCTCCCTTTTTTTTGGCCCCTAATCCAAATCCAATATATACCCAAATAAAAATAACAACACACAATTTTCTACTCGTCCTTTACTCCTGTTACTGTACTATACTTCTTTCAAGTCCACCTGTGTCTTCTCTCTCTCCTCAGTAGATCATCCACTTATACCGGACACCGCTTCCCCACCCCTCGCCCTCCCCCCTCCCCAAAAACAATCCCCAGTCTCCTTTTCTGCATTTTTTTAGCTACTTACAATACAACTCATTCATTCCCCACAGATCAATATTCACTCCATTCCCCTTTTTCCTCACTTCGTTTAGATTTATATTCTCAGCTCCACATTTTTTTCACACACTAACGGTGTCACTGCGTCGGTCTGTCACTCCGTCAGTAAGTCAGACAGACACCTGCAGCCGCAGAGCAGCCAATCCTAGAAATCAGTAAAGTTTTGCGCCTTCTTATTTTTTCTTTTTTTTTTTTTGCGTTTTTAAATTACGAAAGTAAAAGAAAAGGAAATTAGTAATTGCTAGAACTTACTTCATCTTTTTTTTTGGTGGAATTTTTGAATTTTGTCAGTCTAATTGAAGTGATAATGTTTTTTTTTTTGTTTTGTTTTAAGATTGATTGAGAATGAACTGTGGTGTAAAAGTTGCTGCATTTTTACAGCTGTAAAGAGCTACTGCAGTTGATGGAGTTACTGTAGTTGAAGAAGATCGATAATCGAATTAGTTCTACTTTTTTTTTTTATTTAATTTTTTTGGGTGATTAGATATTATATTCAGCGTGAAGGCGAATATTGGACACTGAGAATAGCGGTTGGGGGTTTATTAATTGAAGTGAATTTGCGTGTAGAAAAAGGATATGGCGTATGAATGGGAGGATTTGGAGATTGGGGGTTATGAGGAAGAGGAGATTTAGGGCTTTATTTTAAGAGCTGCTCTTTGATGCCTCGTCGGGATAGGATGAATTCAGATGTTAGCAGAACTGGGGGACCGGTCGAAAGAGACATTGAGCAGGTATTTTTTTTTTTATTTGTTTTTGCATTTCGGAAGTTTACTTAGCTGATTATTCATTGAATTTATGTGTGATTATTTCATTTTAAGCTAAGTGTAATAATAAATTTGATGCTGTTTGCTTTAGATTAACAAATGTCTGTTGATTCTGGTGTTTGCCAAATTTTGGAAGTATTTTAATTCATGTCTCTGTTGGGGATGCCTGTAATTGATTCGGCTGTGTAGTATGTGAAGATAGAATGGTTATCGAGTTTGTTTATTTGTTTAGTTGCAAAGATCTGTGGGTTACTTAAAATGAGAGATTTATTTGTATTAAATATGTTGCTCCTATCGTTTGTAACCGTAGATGTAGATTGTGATGTTAAAGACAGGTGGCATGGTCATGGATGTGCATTAGGAAGAACTATAGTTACAAATTTGCAAAATTATGAGTCGGACCAATTGGTGAACTGAGCGTTCATGCATTAGTGGTTAAGGCTGTTTGTAGTCCTTGCATCATTGCTTGGAGCCAATTGTTTGCTATTACAATGTGCACTTTGACCTTTTCATGCTTTATTTGAAATATAACCTGTTAATCTCCATTTGGCACTTATATGTGGTGCTGCATCATTTTTACCAGCAATTGTCCTGTAGGGGGAAAGTGCCATTTCTAGTTCTCATCTAGTTGTCTATTTCTTCTCAAAACCATGTAAGATTTTCCTAATAAAGTTATTAATTGACCTTCAACAGGCTATCACTGCTCTTAAGAAAGGTGCATATTTGCTGAAGTATGGAAGAAGAGGAAAACCTAAATTTTGTCCTTTCCGGTTGGCAAATGTAAGCACTAATTTTACCTTCCAGATGTGATATTTAGTCCTTGTGTTTTGCTGCTCTATTTTCTTTTTATTGCATGTTCTATGCCTTAGCATGCTTTTCCAGAATTGTACCTGTAGATGATCCTTTTCCTCTGTTTCCTTCAAACTTTTCTTGTGAAGAAGGTTAGCTAGTGCAGAAACTTTTAAATCATTGCTTGCGGTAGGTAAACATAAGTAATGAAGTATTGTTCCAGTAGTCAATATTGTTAAGGATCTATAATCAGAAGTTCAGTTCAAGTTTATTCTTCTTTAAATGATGTTGGTATCTGAAGTATCTGTTTAATCTCAGTAAAGCCTAGAAACTCTTAGCTACGTGCTCAGGTTGCATTTTCTGAGGGCTTCTTTCAGTTAATTTAGTTAAATAACCTATTTAAAATTTTTTATTTGCTAAATTTGTTTGCGCTTCTATGTTTGGGTTTCTTGATCTATCCATTATTCAGTATAGATAGAATTTATTCAGTAGACATAACACCAGTGAGGAAATTATTGAAAAATAGGTCACTTTCAAGACCATTAGAGTGTATATGATGTTCATGTTTACATCTAGACAAACAAGCAAGCACACATAGAATAGATTCATATCAGCTACTGGGTAACCTACTCAGGGTATTGCTGTTCTGGTGGCCATTTATTCTACCAAAATTTCTTCCAGGCTAAATTGGCTCATTTTATATTTTGTAGAATTTTTGTAATATTTGTTTCAAGTACCATCCCTTTTTTCTTGACTCTGTGTTGTGTTTTGGAGTTTGTCTGTCCATTCTATGTGCAGAAGGGTGGCATTGCTTCCATGTCTTTCACAGAAAAAAATATTGTTGCTTAGGACCAATTACGAAAGCATATTTAATGCTGGCTTTTGCAGTTTCAATCATTGTTTTATCTTAAAAGGGTCGGATGATGATTTGATATGCATGTCAATATATGTGTATTTCTGGTACCAGGTATTATCTCAATATATTTTGTTTCAATAAAAGATTTGCTTGTTTTTTCCCCTTTGATGTTAATATATGAATGCTTTTGGTTGCTTTGCTCCCATGCAACTGTGTAGCCAGTTACAAGCAGTTTCAACATGTAAAAGTTAGCTGTGGATGTGTTGCAGGATGAGTCTGTTCTGATGTGGCTTTCGGGGAAAGAGGAGAAGCACCTCAAACTAAGTCACGTGTCCAGGATTATTTCCGGTCAGCGTACTGTAAGTATTTATCTCTTTGTTATCATTAAGAAGCTCATAAATGTTGGACTATTTTGTTTACAAACACGCTTATAAATCTTAGGCTAAGCTGGTTTTTTAATCAAATTTATGCTGTATTTTCACAGAAGTAATTGCTATCCAAATATGAATGCAAAACCTTTATTCTTTTTTTCTGGTTCTGATTATTTGAATCTGTTATGAGAGACTTAATTATGGGACAAACTAATACCAATTCGGTCCACTTGTCCCTGAAAATGATTTCCAGTGGAACTCACTCGTAAAGTTTGTATGTTTTTTACGTACTGAGAAGATAAATTTGAAGATTACTAACAATTGTGGAATAACTCCTATCTCATTTGACAGCTTGTATTGTCTTAATTCTGTACTTCAAAATTTTATGTTTTAAAATTTCTTTATGACTTGGAAGCTAGTTTTCAAGTGCGCCCGCGCGCACACACACACATATTTGTTGAGGTCATGTTTCAAACAATAATTGCTGAACAAGAATCATTAAAATACATTTTCTTCGTAAACTAGGAAGAAAAATTACAATCAAACTGGACCTAACAACTCAGTCAGCTGGTAGGAAGTTTTAGTATAGCTGGATGCTGAGAATTCTCAAATGTCACAATCCTGTCCTTTAATGAATTGTACTGAGAACATGGGACTAACCCAATAACTTTGAATTTAAACCACCGGCTTAAAATATTTAAGCCAAGTTTTAAATAAGTGACGAGGAAAGGTACTTATATAAAATGTTCACCACATATCCGTTACAGTTACTCCCACAAGATCCGTAATGTGCTTTGGTGGTGCATTTACGTGCTTTGGCAGTGTCACCTAGGGCTGCAAACGACTCAATCCGGCTCAGTGAAAGCTTGATTTCAGCTCTGTTGACACTGAGCTTGAGTCGAGCTCAAGCTGGCTTGGTGAGCCAGCCAAGTTGAGCCGATTATCGGTCTACTTGCCTCGTTGGATCATTGAGCCAGATCAAGTTCATATTTTTAATATTTTATATTTTTAGTGGTGAAATTACATGTATTTCCCCTATATTTTTATTATTTACTAGTGTAATATGTTTATTTTATCCAATTTAAAAAATAAAAAAGTTGTTTTTATTTGAGCTCGAGTAGGCTTGAACTTGTGTTTGACCTCAAGCTCAAGTTTCAGAATGAAAGATCATCAAGTTCAAGCTTGAGTTCGAGCCTAGCAAAATTAAGTCGAGCTCGGATCGATAAGGCCAAAGTTTGACTTGACTTGGCTCATTTGCAGCGATATTGTCACCTACATGCTCTAGGTGGCTATCTTTCTTTGACTCAGCACTTAGCCCTTTAACACTTAGTTCTGACTCTTCCTTTAGGTTTGGTCTATTACCGAAACTAGCAGACGATATTAAGGGAGATTAGAAGTTTTGGCATTTCTTGATGTACTTGTTCGTGTTGATTGAATGCAGTTAACTAAGCCAATTTATGGTTTCAAAGTGCATGCTTGTTAGATGGGAAGGTTGATGGCAAAGTCCTGTATTTTGTGATGATGAAACAGTTGGGACAGGAAGGAAAAGAAGTAGCACATAATTCCAAATAAAAGAGATGTATTTTTGGATATAAGTTTCTTTCACCTCTCGGGAGCTGAGTTCAAAATTGTTTTGTCTTGTGGCTATGAACCATTTGAAGGTACCTTTAACTAAATAAATAGGTTTACTAGGAATTTGAGATATGAAGATATTGGTACAAGTTTATACTAAAACGAAACAAATAAATTACAAAAGATACCTTGCATCATGATAATTCTGAAGCTATGCTTATTATTACTTTTGAGCTGGAATTAGTGATATTGGAAAAAAAGAATAGCAGTTAAAAATATGTGTTCCTATTGCTGCTATTTGGCTGCAGGATACTGTTCTCCCAATTTTGTCAACTGCTCCGTGCTTTGACTAGATGTAGTCACCCCCCCCCCTTTTTTTTTTCAAATTCTATGCTCGTTTAATTGCAATTTTCTGGAAGAAAGATATGGAGATTCTTAGGAAGGGATTCCTTTTCCATCTGTAGAGTTAAAGCCCCTCACATATTCTATTTTCGGGCATTCTAACATAGCATGCAGCTATTCTTAGCTCATACTGTTGATAGCCTAATTATCTGTCTACTGTTCATAGTATCACACATTGTTAGTTCGCTACATTGCTTATTCACTTTGGTGAGAATTTTCTTTTGGGTCAATCTTATGTACAGCCCTGTAAAGTTCCTGTTATAGTTTTGTTTCTGTTATGTCAATTAATGTGGCTTGGTTGTATTTGTTCATTCAGCCGATTTTCCAAAGGTACCCACGACCAGAGAAGGAGTATCAGTCTTTTTCCCTCATATATAGTGACAGATCTCTTGATTTGGTAAGGCAGTGATTATTTAAGCTTTTATACAGCCTAGTCTTTTGCACTCTGATCTTTTTACATTTTTTTTAAAAAATATTTTCTGTTCTTCTGATTTTCTTCTTTTCTGGTGTATCTTTGATTTTCCAGATTTGCAAGGATAAAGATGAAGCAGAAGTATGGTTTAGTGGTCTAAAGGCATTAATTTCACGTAGTCATCAGAGAAAATGGAGAACAGAATCAAGGAGTGATGGGGTTTCATCTGAAGCTAATAGTCCTCGAACGTACACAAGGAGAAGTTCACCATTACATTCTCCATTTGGTAGTGGTGACAGCTTACAGAAGGTACTTATTTTCTTATTTCCTCAGCTTTGATGCAGAGACAGATTAACAGAACTGTGACATATACCTGCATGCTCTATATATCCAAATAATTGACAATAAAGATTTCTTTCAAAAAGTTGAGTGGATTCTTCCATTACTTGTTCAGGATGGTAACGATCAATTTCGCCTTCATAGCCCATACGATAGTCCCCCTAAGAATGGTATGGATAAAGCTTTCTCAGATGTAATATTGTACACCATGCCACCGAGGGGTTTCTTTCCCTCAGATTCTGCTAGTGGTTCTGTCCACTCCTTGTCTTCGGGTTCGGATGGCTTACATGGTCAGATGAAGGCAATGGGAATGGATGCCTTCAGGGTGAGCCTTTCTAGTGCCGTTAGCTCATCAAGTCAAGGATCTGGTCATGATGATGGTGATGCATTGGGTGATGTTTTTATTTGGGGTGAAGGCACTGGAGATGGTGTCCTTGGTGGTGTGCCTCACAGAATTGGCGGTTGTTTTGGTAATAAATTGGATTCTTTACTGCCTAAAGCTTTAGAATCTGCAGTGGTACTCGATGTTCAGAATATAGCCTGTGGTGGACGTCATGCTGCCCTTGTAACAAAGCAAGGGGGGATATTCTCTTGGGGTGAGGAGTCTGGGGGTAGGCTTGGGCATGGTGTAGATTCAGATGTTTTGCAGCCAAAGCTTATTGATGGCCTCAGCAACACAAACATTGAGCTTGTTGCATGTGGAGAACGTCACACTTGTGCTGTAACACTTTCTGGTGACCTGTACACATGGGGTGATGGTCATTTTGGTCTTCTTGGGCATGGTAATGAAGTGAGCCATTGGGTCCCAAAAAGAGTAAATGGGCCATTAGAGGGAATACATGTTTCATCAATCTCCTGTGGGCCCTGGCATACCGCTGTTGTGACCTCTGCTGGGCAATTGTTTACCTTTGGTGATGGAACTTTTGGGGTTCTTGGTCATGGGGATCGCAGAAGTATTTCAAGACCTAGGGAAGTGGAATCTCTTAAGGGACTCCGAACTGTACGAGCTGCTTGTGGTGTTTGGCATACTGCTGCAGTTGTCGAAGTTATGGTTGGAAATTCAAGTTCCAGCAATTGTTCTTCGGGTAAACTATTCACTTGGGGAGATGGGGATAAAGGAAGACTTGGGCATGGTGATAAGGAACCAAAACTTGTCCCTACCTGTGTTGCTGCCCTTGTTGACCCTAATTTTTGTCAGGTTGCTTGTGGACATAGCCTGACTGTTGCTCTTACAACCTCTGGTCATGTATACACTATGGGCAGTCCTGTTTATGGCCAGCTAGGAAATCCTCAGGCTGATGGAAAGCTCCCATGCCGTGTTGAAGGAAAACTTGCTAAGAGTTTTGTGGAGGAGATAGCTTGTGGTGCCTATCATGTGGCGGTTTTGACTTCAAGGACTGAAGTTTATACATGGGGAAAAGGAGCAAATGGTAGGTTGGGCCATGGGGATACAGATGACAGAAATTTTCCCACGTTACTAGAAGCCTTAAAAGACAAGCAAGTCAAAAGTGTTGGTTGTGGTACTAATTTCACTGCTGCCATTTGCCTTCACAAGGGGTTCTCCGGGGTTGATCAATCTATGTGTTCTGGCTGCCGTCTACCATTTAATTTTAAAAGAAAGCGCCATAATTGCTATAATTGTGGACTTGTATTTTGTCATTCATGCAGCAGTAAGAAGTCACTCAGGGCTTCTTCGGCACCGAATCCCAATAAACCTTATCGTGTCTGTGACAATTGCTTCAGTAAATTGAAGAAATCTATTGAAACTGATGCTTCATCTCATTCTTCAGCGGGCAGGAGAGGAAGCATAAATCAGGGATTAAGCGATATTATTGACAAAGATGAAAAAGTGGATGCCAAGTCTCGTCCTCATCTTGCTAGGTTTTCTTCAATGGAATCATTAAAACAAGTGGAAAGCCGCTCTTCCAAGCGAAACAAAAAATTAGAATTCAATAGCAGCCGTGTATCACCTATTCCAAATGGAAATTCCCAATGGGGAGCACTCAATATCTCTAAATCTTTTACTGGATCATCCAAAAAGTTTTTCTCAGCATCTGTTCCTGGATCAAGAATTGTTTCACGAGCAACATCACCAATATCTAGACGGCCTAGTCCACCTCGTTCTACTACTCCAACTCCAACTTTGGGGGGGCTTACATCACCGAAAGTTGTTTTGGATGATGCAAAAATGACGAATGATGGTCTTAGTCAAGAAGTTATTAAGTTAAGAGCTCAGGTATTAGTTTTGTCATATTTACTCGTGCTCTTGCAGTCACTTTCATGAATCATGTCATCTTACTTGAACTTTTTAACATTCATGTCTATCTGCATAAGTAAAATGGTTGTAGGTTGTAAAGGTGATGCTCTTTTCTTAAAATCAACAACCAGAATAGGTGGTAATAGCTGCAAAGATTATGGAGGATTCTGAATGTAATTGTTGAATGATATTGTGATCTGAAGATTAAAGCAAGTTTCAGGATCTTAGTTGTAATAACATCTAACAAATAAAAATTTAACTTTTTAAGTTTGCAATGGAGAATAGAAGAATGGAGGGAAATAAAGAATATGAAGAAAGGAGTTGAGATGGCAATCCTCGTATGTGTTTGATGTTATGTTCCCTTGCTGGTTGTCCAACTTTATTATCATACAACCAACAAAGAGCAGATGAAAAAAAGATAAAACCAATTCATAATGTGGATATAAAGAGAGAACGAGGGTGATCCTTGGAGTAAACTGGACCTTTTCTACATGAGTTGGGCTTTGGTGTGCTTTACATCTAAGCACAGGCTTCAAGTTCTAACTATAAGAGAAATTTATTTTCTCTTTTGTTTCTTATTTCACAAGGAATAATTCCAATTTGGCTTTACACTGGACATGCCTTCTACTCATTTCATGATTCGGCAAGTAGGCAAGAAAAAATCCTCTGTGAGATGAATTAAATTTTCTTCACTGGTTTTTTGTATGGTGTAAACAAGCATTTGCAGAGTGTTACATTAGGTTTTAATACATCTAAAAGTTAAATACAGATAATGAGAGGCTATATTCAATAGTCCCAGGTTTATGCTGCATCTCATGGTGGAAAAGGTTCTGCCAGTAACTTTTAGGCCTCTATTTGAATTAGCAGTTTATGTATTCCTGCATTTTGGGGTATTGCATAACTGATGACTTAAACATCTTAAGGAATTTCATTTATCCTTTACTTATTTATAATAAAGTCAATTTAGGGATGTGATTGCCTCAGTTTTTTTATTATATCTGTTAAACTGATCCAGAAAACCTGTGTTTTAAACAAATGCTTGACTATTTAGTGCTACATTTTTTCTGGATACTCAACAGTATTTTGCATTTAAATACATTTCCTCAAACTTTTGTGGCTTGGCTGTCTTTAAGATTTCATTCAGAATTGAACATTTCTTTGGAACTTCTGTACTGGAATGTCAATGCCTGTTGAAAAGTTATCTGTAGTTTGATGAATTTTCTGTCTTTGATTGTCGTGAATAACATGCCCAAGTCTGACAAATTAGTTTTCCAGGTGGAAAATCTTACTCGTAAGGCTCAACTTCAAGAAATAGAGCTGGAACGAACTAATAAGCAGCTGAAGGAGGCAATAGCAATTGCTGGGGAAGAAAGTGCAAAATGCAAAGCTGCTAAAGAAGTAATAAAGTCACTTACTGCTCAGGTAACATGAAGGTTTAGACTCATTCATTCTTTTAAGTCGTCATTCATTTTCTACAAAGATTCACGGATGATTGTATTGGCTTTTGTTGCATTTTAGATGAATCTGTCTGCTGGAGTTTCTTGTGCAGGGGGACAGGGTTTAATCTTTAGTTTTGATATACTTGAATTTTGTCTTATATTACTATATTTTCAATGAGTTTAAAAGGGTAGTGACTTGGAGGGTTTGACTGAAAGAAGGTGTGCTAATTCACACTTAGGTCACATGGTGCAATATGCTGATGGTTGTGAGTATTGGAGTTCTAAAGTGGCTAAAGTTACGTTGGTTGTTTGTTGATATCTTGTCTGACATGTAAAAAATTTGCCCTTTCTGATTGACTGACTGGTCAAGGATTTCATTTTATGTCTAATTGAACCAATGTTTATTCTCCCAAAATACAATATATACTTAGATATAGCATTTGAAGTCGATTATTACGTGCTTCTTTTGATGCATGTCACCCTAAGTCTAATTCCCTTCTTCCCATATTATTTTAGAATGCTGTTTATTGTTAAAAAAAAAAAATCCTGTGTTTTCAGCTCGCACTTAAAATCCTTTGTGCCAAGTCAAGTTTGAGCATCCAGTTTCTTGCAGAATTTTTGAAATCCATGCCTAGATCAATAAAAATGTTATGTCAATGAAGTAATATTTTTGCTTGTGTTGAACCCAGAAAGTATGTGGAGGTGACTACTCAAGTCAGACCAAGAAAAGATTCTATGAGTTCATCAGCTACTTCATTTTGCTCTGCTCTTGAAACAACCTGAGCTTTGCACTTGCTTGAGAAATTTTGCGGACTAAATTCCAAAGCCAGTTTTCTTAGCATACCATCCACATGTTTATAACCCGTTCGAACAATTTCCCATATCCAGTGTCAGATAAGCTATTTAGGTCTAACTATGAGCTCACATTGAAGGAGTAATGCAGTCATGGCAGCCCAACGTAGGAATCGTACTCACGAATTGCATGACCACATGGGGCTGCTATGTTTTGTACCGTAACAATAGAGTTGTGCATTAGCCAATCAAGTTTTGGATCTCAAAACCAATGGCTTAATATGCTTGACTTGCATTGTTAGTAGCAGATACGCACCCAGTGTGGACAAAACTTCGTGGTCTTCTTCCTCTTCTTTTTTGTTTTTGTTGAACAATAGTGAATCTAGATCCTCTTACGTGTCCAAATGCCTATTGGATTTTCTAACAAGGTGGCAGAAAAGAGTCGGTGTTAAAAGAAGTTGATACTTTTTGATAGTTCATTGTCTCACTAAGGTGATTAGTGGTTTTAAGAGGTGTCAGCTTAAAGACTCCTCTTAACTTTTACCTCACAAGCAATTTTGATGATAAATATTTAATTAAGCTCATGGGCAAATGAAGCTTAAAAATAAATGGCTTTGTGAAGATGATGGTTTTCCTATCTAAGCTTGTATTATATGACATGCTTGCTAAATTTAAAAAATTTTAACTCTTGGAAGCTTATCTTGCTTCATGATATTTATTGATCTGTCAATTATGTTTTGCTGTACAATGATAACTTACATAATTAGGTATGAAATCCATTTGTCAATTGTTTTGCATGTTCATGCTTGAACTTCATAGTGTTCAAATTCGTCAATGTTAGTGATTTGAACTGTTGTGATCAACATTAATTCTGTATTCTTGCCATGGTTTTAGAATGATTCTCTAGGGTTTTGATTGAAGTGATCTATCGGCACAATATTCATTCGTTATGTGATCTGGATTTAAAGTTAAAACCTTTTCTTTTTCTAATGTTGTAGTAAGAACAGTTGTCAATCTCCAAAGGGATATAAACTTCAATCAAATCAGTTTCATTCCTTTTAGTGTTGATAATCTGTAACATTGTTGTACAAGTGCTGGAGTCGTTTCTATTAGAGGTAGAATGGTATGTAGAGTTGATTGGTAGCTACAGATTGGATTAAAAATGAAGTTAGTAGCTTTTGTCGCTGTTGCTAATCTTTTATTGCATATGATAGCTGAAGGAAATGGCGGAAAGGCTTCCTGTTGGTGCTGCCAGAAACATCAAATCTCCTCCCTTGACTTCACTGGGTTCTAATCCTATCTCTGGTGATGTTCCAAATGCTTCTACTGACAAATTGCATGGTCCAGCATCTGGCCTAGAACTGGAATCCAATGGAGTAAATAATCAGTTACTTCCCAATGGATCTAGTACCAACAGTACTCGTAGTTCTGGTCACAACAAACAAGGGCATTCAGAAGCAGCTGCAAGAAATGGGGGCAGAACAAGAGAAGGTGATTGTCGTAATGAAAACGAATGGGTGGAGCAAGATGAACCTGGTGTTTATATCACACTTACCTCCTTACCTGGAGGTGCAAAAGATCTTAAGCGAGTACGCTTCAGGTATGCATTATCATTATCTCTAGGTTGTCTTTCATGCAATGTCTGGTGTTTTTTTCATACTGTTTTTATGCTGCATATTATATCGCTACTCATTTTGTGGCTACTTAAAGCATGCTAAGAGCCAATCAGGCATGGGAAGCTAGAGCAGTTGTGTCATTTTAGTTCATAAATATGTCTGACTGCAGTTACAAGTGACTACAACTTTGGTTTTATGTGCTATCAGATATTTGTTACCATAAATATAGATGCTAAGCAAGGAATGAAAGAATTGTTTAATAACTATTTAACACAGGAAAGTCATAATCCAAATGCAATGTTTTGCTACTTTTGCATCTACCACAACCGATGCTGAACAGAGAATTTTCTTGCATTAATATTATTGCACATGTAAAAGTGATGAAATTATGGACCTGGATTCTAAAGAATGAGGATGACAATTGGAGACTGAGTGCCGAGGATAACTAGAATGGATATGACAGCAGGGTAGAAAGAATTGGCTTGCTAAACCTGTTTCATTAATTAGTTACCATTTGGTGGTATCCAAGCTATAGTCCACCTAATGGGCTAGAGACCTCATAATTGTTGGACCAAAAATAACCTCAAAGATATTCATAACATGATTCATCTCCAAAGCTATTTCCTTTGTAGAATGAATTGTAAAAATGCAACTTAGATAGTGTAACAGCCTTTTGCTTTTGGTGTCTCCATTTCAACCGTTATGTATAAATTGTCCCTGCTTATAGCTACTACTATAAATTTAAAAAGCCATAAAAAGTTTGTACAATCCTAAAAAAGAAAATGCACATGAATAATGTCCTGGATATGTTGAATTTTGTTTAGCTAGTTTCTCTACAAATATGGATTTAAAGATGCAATTTTAAGTCTTCTTCGTAGTAAATGCATCGATTGTACACAGATAACCAGCTTTTACCTTGGACCTCTTTGACATTGTAGCAAACAACTAAATGTCTCAGAGTGTAGATATCTTAAATCTGGTTGCAGCAATGTGAATGCACGGTTCTATCTGCGGCAATGTTTTAAATAATTTTCCTAATAAAAAAAAAAGGGACAAAACCATATTGCCAATTGAGGCTATACGGTAGATATCTGAATCTTGTTGCCTATTCACATCCCACCCTGCAGTAAACAAATGAAAGAAAAGTTTGTTGTCAGTCTTATGTTCCTTAGCTATACATCTATGCATTAACTAAATGCTGTTTTAGTTCATTCTATCCCTTTCTATTGTTCTGATGTAACGAAATGACAAGTTACACTGATGAGAGAAGGTAATTTGTACACGCGATTTTGCTTAACTATGAATTTGAATATTTCAATCAATGGTTTATTGCAGCCGGAAGCGGTTCAGTGAGAAGGAAGCAGAACTTTGGTGGGCAGAAAATCGGGCAAGAGTATATGAACAGTACAATGTACGCATGGTTGACAAGTCAAGCATTGGTGTAGGAAGTGAGGACTTAGCACATTGACATGTCGATACATCATATGTATATGCTGTCTCTTTTCTTTACCTTTTCTACGTTACTTCCAGTCATATAGGGAAGATCATATTGATTGGTAGGATTGGCTTTCTTTTCACTAAGCGTTGGAAGCAAAAAGTTTGCCTTACCAGGATAGAGCAGTAGAGGTTGCTATTGGGCTTTATCGAGTCCCCTGTTTTTGGTTCTTTTTCTTCCTTTTTTACCTTCACCTCTTTTCCCCTTTTATTATTTTTTGGCTTGACTATGCTGTTTCATTTTTTCTCCCAGATGACACAATGTGTGGGGGATGAGGGTGAGAAATGTAAAGTTCTAGTAGGCTGCTGGCTCTTGTTGGGAGCAGCTTCCTTGTAAATTCCACAAGCAAATGTATCTTTAATTTTCTTGCTCATCTTCCTCCTTCACTTCATTTGGTTTAGTTGCAGGTGTTGTATGGTTATTGCTGTTCCTTGTGAAATTTCTCTTTTTGATTATATTCGGAGCGCCATGATGTCTGTATTTATTTAGCGGAAGGTTCATGTACTGCACAGAATCTGTCATTTTGAAAGCATACGGTAAGTGCAAATAGTTTGCAATATTATTTCTCAGAAAACCGTGTCAAATTAAACTTTGAATAGGCACCATTCCAGAACTATTGCAGATTTATAAGTTAGTCATACTTCCCAGCCAACCCTTGTAATTGTATTGTCATACTGCAGAAGGATTTTGCTGTCAAGGAAAACGTTTTTTCAAGTGCGTATTCAAACAAATGCATATTGATGGGTTTCTTCTACGGTGTAGAAATTGTATCTCTGCTGAGGGAGACATCGGATTGACGAGGGTCAAATATGCCGAATGGAAATGAACATGGGCCAGTGCAGTTTTCAGAAAATGCACATTAAATGGGAGTAGGACTGCAGATGAACAGGCAAAAAAGTTTTTTTTTTTTGTTTTTCTCTTTCGTGGGATCCATCAATGTTATTGTAGTGTCTGTGAAATATCAGAAGCTCCTGTTTGGCATAGTTATTAAACCTTGCTAGGGAAGGAATCCAACGGAGGGTATGGGTTATTAGTTTAATCAGTGGATAGGTAGTAGAACTGATAGGTACTAAAATAATATTAGCATTATGATAATTTATAACTCGAAATTAAATTATTGACTTTTCAGCCGTTTAATCATTTCTACGAGACAAGTCACACGTTTACCCTGTGACATGGAAATAGAAAGGCATTAATATAATTTTCCTTCTGAATTTCCATATTCTCAATATCCCCTCTATTTGCTTTGCAACCTCTCCGCTCATTTCCATCACTTCCCATAAAATATTTCACCAAAAGTTATTATGATGAAATTCATGACTTTTTTGAATTGTTAAAAAACAAAATTCATGTTAGAAACAACATTTCCAAAGCTATCGAATCGAATTAGTAAAATCGAAATTGAATCCATCATATTAAAGCGTCGGATAAAACATCAGATTTTTTGAGAGACTAAACTTGGAAGAGGAGGCATGGATGAGTTGGGTGGAAGAGCCCGCGGTGTGTTGGGTGCGTTTGGAAAGGGGGCCAGTGAAAGAGGTGGCAACGGCTGGTGCGGTTTTTGAAGGAGAGACTCAGCAAATCAAAGAAGTGGGCATAGGGTAGCAAAGAAAGGTAGAAAGGACAGATTACACTCAGTGCAAAAGATGTGCAGGGGTATGGTGGTTAGATTTTGGTGATGCATTGGGTTAATTCTTTAATTAAGTTAATTTAGGTGCTTATTTGGAAATATGAAAAATTTAGAAGAATAGCGTCTGTGAGTTTGAGACTCACAAGCATCTGTCATGCTACTGCTATTCTATTTATAAATACATGTAGTAGTATATTAGTTATCTTAATTTGCATATAATTTATAAATAAAGTGTTTTAGATATTAATTATTACATGTATAAAGATATGTTCTGAAGGGTTAATCCCAATAAACTACCTTGTAAAATACACTAATAGCTTACGGGTAACTCAGATCTTGTGCATCCCTAGTGCTTTCTACATCCTTAAATCATCTATTATTTTAACAAATCTTTTCATTATTGACATGCATTACATATTCATTCTTGATGGTCCATACTATTTTGAAACTAATCCATTATTACGTCCTTAATCTCTAAGTTCTTGCTAAGAAAAAGGTCTAACTTACCTTCTTGTTTGCTGTTAAAGAACTTGATTGTTTTTTCCACCAAAATCAATAAAAAAAACCAGCAAGATCCACCAACTGCTGCTTCTTCTGGTGTCGTGGAATTTATTGCGATGGCTCAATTTTAGGATAAATGTGAAGCATGATTACATAAACAAATCCATCTAGCTACTTTTGGACAACAATAAGTACTTTGGAGTTGTAAAAGTAGTAAATAATGTCCTAAACCGGGTTATTCTCCCACTAAAAAGGGAAGATTGATCACTTCATTTGTGTATTTTTTGCCCATGTTAATTGTTGATTTTTGTGGAGATATTGTGGTCACTTTACAAAATCATGTGAGGTATACATGAGCAAATCAGTCACAAATAGGGTTGTCGGACCCGATTACATAACGCTCTGGGTCAATGAATTGGCCCAAATAACTTTTGCCTGAAATTACTAACTCAAAATGATTAATCTAAATTATTCATTGGTCCATGGATCTAAAGTTATATATTGGCCACCAACCTTAGACTCATTTCGTGCAGAGACTATGCGAGATGCACTCTAATATCAACCGTAAAATTCTGATTCCATGGATTGACCCAAATATCTTTTGAACAAAATTATAAATGCAAAATAGTTAATCCAAATTATTCAATTACCTAGGAGCTTAGAGTTATATATCAATCATTTCCTTCTTCACTTCCGATGTGGGACGTTTTTGGTTTTGGAGTCTCATAATAATAGTATTGAGGAAAGATTGGTGCAATTAATCCTTTAGGGGTGCAAGTTGGGAAAACAGTGCACTTTGACGGGATTTATTAAAATTAATCCTATTATGAATATAGAAACATCAATAACGGAATTAATTCCTTTATATTATATTTTATAAATATAGATCATGTATTAAAAGATAAAACAAAATTACTTTATTTATTAAAAAACAAGCTTTGAAGGAAATGGAATGAAATTTTTGTTAATATTTTGCCTTAAAAATATTTCTTTAACTATAAATTATTGTTATATAATAATAACACTTTTAGTTTCAAAGTTGAATTAATTACATAACGAAAAAATAACCAAATATATTTGAAGGTATATTTGGTTAACAAGTGAAAGAATAGCTCATGAGTAGAGAGTCTCTTGTACAATAAGGATCAAGAAGAAGATTTTAAGATACATACATTGGCAAACTCGTACAATTTGGCCCAAAAACAAAGACCTATAAGTTCATAGAATCTGTGCGGGTGCCCAATTGAATTCCGAGTCAAACGGATTGCAGTAAGCTTGATCGGGTTGATTCCTTATCTGGCAAACTAGGAACCTAGACTGGATTAATGATTTGATGGGACTGATTCCTTATCCGGCAAATTAGGAACCTAGCCTGGATTAATGACTAGTTATCTTTGTCTATGAGTTCAACTATCGGCCCGGATTCAACAAAAAAAAAAAAAAAAGACAAAAAAGACTACATTGTTCGGTGCTACAGGAAATTAAAAGACAAAAAAGAAAAGAAAGAGAAGTGGCAATTAGTACAACCATAATAAAACACCTTAAAAGGTCGAACTAGTAGAGTTTCAACCGAAGCCTCGAACATAAATGTGGACAAGCAAATATTAAAGAAATAAATGCTAAACTTTATGATATCTATACATATATATAGAGAGCACTTTCGTGGGTATTCTTTCTCAAATTTCACCTGCCTCATCCAAGGGTAGTTTATTAATATGGAGTGGTGGCAGCATACTATTTTTTGGTTGGTACAATGGCTGGCTACATTCTTGCTTGTTCATTTACTTTTAGCTATTGTTTGGAAAATTCCAATTGTGACCTCCATGTTGCTTACTTCAAGAGTGGTTTAAATTGCAATAATTACAAATTAATGTGCATCAGTCCTTTAAATTGCCCGAATAGCCGTTATGGTTGTAAACGCCTATTTGTTTCTCCTTCATCTTAGTTTATAACTTTATCTATCTTCTTTTATTTTGTGTAGTTTTTCCTTTTCTTACTCAATGTTTCTTCTTATTGAAGGTCTGCAATTCTTTGCTGTTCTCTTTCTTATTTGTATATTTCATGTTCTTGATTCATAATTTTTACTTTAGTGATTTGATATTGTAAGTAGTAATTTGCAGATTTATAATTTTATCTTTTAGTTCATTTAATCTTTTTGTTAAATTAGTTTACTATATGCTTTAATTCAGAATAAAATGTTTGATGTTTATTTATCTTGTAATTTTGTCAATAGGAGTTTTCTACCAACAAGTTGAGGGCCCTGCTCAATGACAGTTGCACTAAAAATTCAATGATTAGGGTATGTGATTTACTATTTGTTAGAAATCCAAAGCCTTTGAATTGCTTCTATATATTGTATAAATTAAAGGCTCAAGTTTCATATTCTTTTAATAGAAGATGTTTTCCTACTATTGGAATATAATAGGTAGTGTTTGATAGTTTGTTATTGATTCTGATTGAAAACATTTGATGTTCACTTTGTTCTTGCAATTTTATTATTATTTTTGAGCTGATAGCAATTGGCAATGGTCTAAGATGAAAATTACCTTATTTATTGGACCCGCATATCAGTAGATTTTTATTTGATAGATCATACTTTACTCTTACATCTTTAGCTCCTTCGTTTAGATCTTATATTGCTTCAATTTCTCTTATTTCAATATAAGTGGATTAATTATGACTTTATATTTTTATTGATAGGGTTGGAATAAAATATTACAAAAGAATACATTTGCAAGATCAATTTGCCTCATATTTGGTTGGAATTTCATGATAGCAAAGGGAAGTTGTCTTGAATTGTTTGTGGTGGATCAATCTCTTTGTAGTATGCTAAATTTATTATTGTACTGAAATTTCATAATCAGATAGGATAGAGAAAGTATTTGTTGATGCACTAACCATAGACCTTAAAAGTTCTATCAGAAGGGAAGCCTGCACGAATACCTCGCGACTTTGCAACAAATCTGTCCTTACGAACCCATGTCCTCTTGCACATGACTGCCAGAGAGCACCACCGTATCTATATGCAATGTTTCCAGCGGCGACACCTTCCCTCGAACATGATCCCTATGACATCCGCCCCTAGGAGATAAATTACCCACCCGTCGCTGAACTTCCTGTATTTCGTCAGCCATCACTTCATTAGCTGAATACCTTGCTGACCGCTCTTCTACTTGCCCCACCACAGCCTTCTCTGCCATCCCCTTTCCCCCAGAGTTGTAGCTCTCCTCTCCAGTCCCAGGCAAGGTAATCTCTTCCCCTTCGCTTGTCTCTTATATCGTGGCTACTGTCTTACTGTCAGCCACGACACTCCTCCCCTCTTCCAAACCTGGATGCGTATCTGTGGTGGGTTGCCAC